AAATCTCTCCTCTTTTAGTTTGAAACCTTTTCTCTAGAGAATATGCCCTTCTTACTCAGTACTGCGGGAATGCTGCAGAGTTCTGTATATCATCTCTTCACCCTCTCTAACATCTCTGGGAGTCCTTACCAGTCTTTATGCTAATGGATCAATAAATGTACCTTTATAATCCAGACCACATTATGTCTCACCAGAGACAGATTGTCTGTTAGACCTGTTTCTTCAATATCTTTTTTTAATGTCCAGCAACCAGCTCATGCTGGCTACATCTGACCTAATCAGATCTAAACTTCCATTTCAAATACTATGGTCTAGGATATGAAGAATCTAAAATATAAATGCATGCTATCACACAGAAGCAGTCTATGTTAGTTGAGATACAGTTTGGACCTGAGTGTTGAGTCATCTGGAGGGAAGCATCTGTGAGAGGCTCAGTTCTGCTGTGATCTGAACTCAGAGCTGACACAGAACTGGGTCCATAGGAGCTTACCTTGGGACAACAGAGCTGATCTAGCACTTTGCTGCCTTCTGCTGTCTGTGGCCTTGGATGGCTGGTCCTGCCTCCTCTCTTGCACTGCGTGTGTTGTTGGTCTGATCCCTTTCTGAACTAAGTGTTCTTTGGTGAGCATCACTGCTTTGATGGTGTTTTCTGCTCCATGGGACACAGCTGAATGATTTCTAAGGAAAAAGCAGAAGAAATAAGGAGTTGAAAACCATGAGAAAGATATTTTCTCAAGATTGTAATGGCTGCTGTGAAATAATTCAACATGTGGAGAAGACAGCAGCAGAAAGACAAAACACAGGAAGGACCTAAATATATGTGGAGCAGCAGCTTTATCTGTTTTAGGAGAGCTATTCATTAGCACAGAGATGCATGATAATGCCATATTCCAGCTTTACTTCTATTTCATGCCCTTCAGAAAATCTACAGACACAAACTAGTAATAATCTGTCCTTTTTCTTTCTGCTCTGTCATGCTGTTGTTATTGCTGTGTTTTAGTGAGTTCTTTGCATTCTTCATAGCTTGACAGTGATACTGTGAGTAGAGATAACACCAAAGCCTCCATGCTTTAAACTGCATTATGCCTATAAGAATAAGTGAAGGAGTTAATATTATACATATGATCCGGTAAATGGCACGTACTACAGTAAATGGCAAAAATGCAGTAGTTAATGGAGTGGATACATTGTTTTACTGTGGATTATCTAAGTTCTGCTATTCAGGAGAATTCAAGAGATTTTAAGTACAGTGTTGATAAAATATTATATCTTTGAACCTGCCCTTTAAAGTATTTTTCTTTTCAGCATAAACTGTTATAAACTTTTTTAAAACCTTGTAGTTGTGTAATATTGTCTTGATTATCCCTTCCCTATTTCCGCAGCCTGACCTTTTTCTTTCATGGTTGTTCTCAGTGCACATCACTCTCTGCTGTCTGCTGCAGTGCCCTGATACTCACCCATCATTCAAACACAAAGAAGCCTCCAAGAAACAGAAGAAATTGTTCTTCTGTTTCTTGGAGGCTTCTTTATGTTTGTCTTTGACTGTGTTCATTCATTTCCCCTCTTTTCTCTGAGGAAGGAAAAAAAAAAAACAAACACTATAGTAAGCAAAATACGATAAGCTCCTTCTAGCAGGTAATTTAAAATAAGTATGTCTTAATTCATAAGTTGAGAAAGACCAAAAAAAAAAAAAAAAAAAGTTTTGATATATCAGAATGCATCTGGTAAAGTCTTAATGCAACAAGAAGAAACTTCCACCTATACTTCTGGGAGCAATGGTCAGCCCTTAAATCCCTCACCAATAAATCTGGCTTCAGCTAAATGAATTTCATGTTCCACCACTGTTTTATTGTCCCCTTAGGTTAACTAAAACCATTGTTTTTGCTGCTGCTGCAGTCAGTGATGTAATAGAACTTTGTACTTTGGTCTGAACCAAAAGCAGGTAACTATGGATGATGATGATGAAGGAAAGTCAAACTCTTTTTTTCTTCATCTTTTAATCTAACTTTGAGTTATTTTTATGTCACTAAAAACACAGCACCAAACTGATGTCTCTTCACTGATCTATTTATTTTATGCTTCCCAAAAGTATTCCAAATAGACAACTGTCTGAAGGTTGCTTAATTCTTTTTCTTAAATATTTTGTTAAAAACTATTCTTTGATTTCTTTATTTTATACAGCTCTAATATAGTATTCTTTTAACGGAAAAAAAGTCTGGAATTATTCAGTCATCTTCAACACTGATTTCAAATGCTCTCTCAGTAAGACTGATGGGTTTTATATTGTTGAAGCTATGTGGTCCTAGAAGTTCTTCCCTTTTGTTTGTGTAGAATGTTCTCAGATGTTTCGTAGAATCTTCAGTGCTTTGGAACATACGATTTATTTCCTATTGTTTGTGTTTTCTGTTGTGACAGAGAAAATAGTAAGCAGATACTTTGAGACAGTTTGACAAAGTTTTCTCACCTTGTGAGAAGCTGATTGCAAGAGGAAAGCATATCTCAGACCCACTGCTGATGAGTGTCACGGAAGTGGGAGGTACGGGTTACTCTCCCCAAAATAAACTTGCCAGCTTGGAGGATATAATGAAGCAGACCATTAGTTAGCCTTAAACTGATGGGACAATTGGTAGGAGTTAAGATCCATTCTGGGGAAGGAAGGAAGGAAGAGTCAACAGATTCTCCTGGCACCTTCACTTCTTTGGGAAGAGGGAAGGCATGCTCAGGGTAGGGTATCTATCCCTGTCAGGGAAAAGCCACAGTCCTTTGTGGCTGCAGAGCAATCAGGATGCTGAGTGGCCAGCAGCCAGTGCTTGCTTCAGGTACTACTTCCTATGAAGTTAAAATGTTCAGGCTGTTTTTGGTTTCGAACCCACATGGCAAATTTACTGCTTGTATGAGGAGATGAGACTCTGTTGCTTTCTATGAAGTGGCCTATGTTTATGCAGGTGGTGATTTAGATAAAATATATCCATTCTGTCTTGATCGCAGAACCTTTGATTAAATTATATTTTTCTCTATTTTCTCATGAAGGACTATATCTGGTCATGTGCAAATATCTCGACACAACACTGAAACATAAATTATTTGATGAACTACTCAGGACTATTCACTTAATGCATGATAATCCTGTGAGTGTGTTAACAAGCAGCAATTCTCTGATGATTAAACTGCTTTAAAATGTCTTTGTACTCATATGCCATTAGAATGAACTTGGCACTTCTAAAACATCCATTATTCATCATATTCCAGTGTTGCATCTGACTGTGTATCACTTTAATTTCACTCACTTAACAAAGCAATCCATTCATTACAATAGTTTGCAACATATTTTCTAAATCAGAAAAAATCTGATTAAATATGCAGTGTTAGTTATCATGAAAAATACAGTATAGAAATATTTCAGCAAATAATTTCTCAGTGGTCTATGTTCATCTGTTGTCCTGATCATTCAGAAAGGAGACAGGGACAGAGCATTATCATTGCAGATAGAAATACTTGTTGCGTATATATTTTTCTTATTTTTTTTCTCTGCTCCTTCTTTATTTGTTCATTCTACAATGCCTGCATCCTGCAATTCCATGTCAACTCCATTAAATCCTATATTAATTTGGCTCCTGCTTCAATCAGCGTGTGATGACTGTTCAGCCCAGCATGCCCAAGGGAAGTATCTCACAAAGCATCAGACTGCTGAAGTGACTTCTGTATGAAATTTTTTCACTCATGGACTGTATGGTCTCAAAATTATGACTTTTATCAGAAGAATTTACTGGAGTGCAGGCTAAATGAACCACTGTTGAAGTGCATTTTCTTAACAATGTAGCCAAATGAGTTTCTGATTCAAGTAGTAAAATTCTGATAAATGGCAGTGGAGATGGACTAATAATCTCCAAACAAGCCAGAAAACTTTATTCTCAGATCAGTGTCTTGCAAAACATACACAGACATGAGGTGATTAAACTTTTCAACTCTAGATTTTGACAACCACTTCAGTCTTAATTTTGCTTTAAAAATGCTTCCTGGGCCTACTGGAAAATTAGCAAATATGAAACTAAGCTTGTTTCTTAGAGGTTTTGATCACATGTTTTTAATACATTCTGATTTGTTGCCAAATTCGGATGTTTGAACAGATAAGAAAGGTTACTTATGCTTTCCTAGCAAACAAACAGATTTAGGGAGTCCCTGATTGTATTAACTCTTTCAACAACTCTTGATACAATGAAAGTACAAGTATTAATCATTACCCAATGGATAAGAAAATCCCTAAAATAGAACTGTTAAAGATAATGGGAACAAAATACACGTGGAAGAGAAGTAATTGTGTGGTTAAGAGGAAGACAGTGAAAGAGGTGGACTTGGAAAAATTACCAATGATCTCTATGCTTGGCAAAGAATGTTGATGGAATCAGAGTAAACCAGGGAACCCAACTGTGGACTCACAAGTTTACATTCTTGTCTCTAGCTTTGAATCAGTTTTTCTTTGTTCGTAGACCAGTAAGTAAGAGTTAGTTTGCACTGAGTTAGGAATTAATCATGGGTATTTCCAATTAGTACACTTTTGAAATGTTTCAGCATATAGATTTATTTATCATTCTTTCTTTAAAAAATGGCAGTTTATGGCACATGATATTTAGTGTGTCATCTATGGCACTATCAATGCTGAGTTAGTGGTATCTCAAGTTTCAGGATGCCTTTTTATAGTAAAACTCCTCAAGGTATGTTAAGCTTTTCTTTCCATCTAACCTTGATAGTGTTTGTGGATATATTGCTATAGATTTGCCTACATTCATGTATGATTCAACACATGAAAAGCCTTATGTTGTGCATGCAAATAATTCTGAATTCACTATTTCATACTGTGGAATTGTTATTTACAGTGCAATTAATGTACAGGTTCTACAAATTTCTAGATGAGGACTCTTTTTTTTTTTTAAAACAAAAACACAAAAACAAAAACAAAAAAACCCCTTCCATTAATGTGTCTCTGTTTCTTTACCACACAGCCCCTGTTCTCCCTGGGGCATATCAGCAAAGCCAGTCCCAAGGATATGGATACATGCACCAGACAAGTATGTCATCTATGAGGTCAGTGCATTCACAGCCTCATTCAGCAGGCCTGGTGAGTATTGGATTTAATAACCAATTATGTTTGGCAAGCAACCTTATCAACCATTGTGAAACTTCTTAAAGATGGGTGAATTGGTCCCCTGAGCACTGCAGTTCGACTACCTGACTGTCCTAGTCCTAATTGTAAGTGATAGTCCAAATGTAGGAGAGGTGTTAAGTGACTGAGGGCAGTGACAAAAAAAGTGAAGGAGAACTGGATGGGTGTACAGCTATTTTTTTTTTCTTTGGAAGTGGGAAGGGAGCGGCAGAGGGAGTGTTGAGCATTTTTCTGTTTGAACAAATACAAAGTTATATTTTAGTAGTTCTCATATTTTTTGCTTTCATATAACTGCATACAGATTTTGCAGTGCAGATCTCATCACCTTTTACCGTAAGAGTGTCAACTTGTTGAACTGTTTTAAATTGGTGTATATTCACTACTTCTTTCACCTTGTTTAGAGGTGAAGTATTTAATTCTGAATGAAACCTAAAGCTTTCTAGAGGAAGGAAGTTTTTATTTGAGCTGAAAGAAAAAATGAGTTGTCCTTTTGACAAGAAGTTGTATTTTTTTTTAAACTGAAACTCTATGGTATTTTATGTTATAAAGGTGGTTTGGGATGTCTGTTTTATCAGTTGCTTTGGAGCTGAAGGGGCTAACTTGCTGGGAATTCTAGGATCCAGATAATTGCATCTTTGGGCAAGCCAATAACCTGAGAAACACTTTGGGTGCCTGCATGACAGTTGTGAAATGGTTGGTGCTGGAATCAGCCTTTCATTTCAAAAGATAGCTCAAGGTACCTGGGAAGCTGACTGATTTCCCAGACAGAGTGACAAAAGTGGGAGAGCTGGAAGCCTGGGCTTTGCCAGCAGGTTTGCTAGTGAGTAGGAAGCAAAGTAGGAAACAGCCTTCAGACGCTGGAATGGAGATGCCTGAAAATCTAGAAATCCACTTAGCAAATCTTGTAGCTCTGTGAGTAGGTGGAAAGCTACGGTTTGTCTTATTTTTCCTTCTCAAACTGACTTACTGGGTTGGCTGCCTGTTGGAAAAATAGAAAAAAATTGAGTCAGATTGAGAATAATCATTTGCCTCCTTTCATAACTGAAGGTAATAAGAAATGGAAGGGAGTGAAGTTAAAGCATTTGAAATATGAAGAACAGACAGTCTTTTCAGCAGGATTTCTTATCCCTTCTTTGAAACAATGTTGTTACTTGGCATTCTTTAGAGTGATAGTAGCTGTTTATTGTGGGGAAAAAAATAAAACCAGTTAATGTCGTGGTATAGACTGATTTTGTTGCAGTTTGAGTGAATTTCTTTGAAAATAAGAAACCAAACATTTCTGGAGGGAGAAAATCCAGGACTGCTCTCCTGGTGCTGCCTGCTAACTTGGCAGCCTGGTGAGGGTGGCAACCCTAATCTCACCACCATTGGGGTGACTGACTACCTGCTCTAAAAGAGGCGTATCTGACACAGTTACAAACATGGTGTGCTCTCTTGTCTTTCTGCTGTCATATCAAAAGACTTTTTTTTAGCCTGTGCAAATTGTCCATACAGGCAGGGTAAGTTGCACTCAGCTATTAAAGTGGCATAAGGGTGTCTCAGAGCCCCTGGTTGGGGCACTGTGCTGCAGTGCAGATTCATGCAGACTGAAGATTGATGGCAGCCTGCGATCCTAACACAGTTTTTGAGTAATTTTTTTTCTTGTATGAATTGTGTTATTTATGATTCTCAGCTTTTGCTGACTTTCTACAAGCAGTTTTGCATAACCGGCTGAATTAAATTGTTGCTCACTGTACAGAATGCTTTGTAACAACTCCCTGAAGGCTTCAGCCAGACTGTGTTTACCTCTTTGGAAAACAGCAGTGTATTCTGAAGCTTTCAGATGTCTAAAAGTGGTGGGAAAACAAAATCCACATTGCAAGTTGGCTTTCCCTGATAGCTGCTGTGTGTGAAGGCCTTTGCAACCGGTGCTGTTCCTGGCAAGGGCTGATCCAGAAGATAAGGATAAATTGATGTTGAATTGGAAATGTGCATGTGTTGTCTCATGTCTGGGTGCGAAGCTGGGAATATGATAGCTAGGTTTCAGTGCTTCATAAGCACAAAGATTACTGTTTCTCCTAAGCAGAAGCTACAGATTAGACCTTTGGAGGGAGCAGATAAGTGCCTATTTGACCTCAACCTTTTTTTTTTATCCTCTTTTGCTCTCAGACCTGCTGAACTCACTACTGATAGAGGAATAATTCACTAAAGTGCATTTAAAAAATCTCTGCTTTCAGTCCTTTAAGCATTGTAATTCTCAATTATATAGCCCTGACTACATTTTGAAGTGATAATTAGCCATTAAAATCTAACAGGATTATTATGGAGATTTCTCCTGACAGCCATTTAGCACCTAATTAGGTGTTAAGGCCATAAATTTGGGTTTCCCAGAAGCATTTAGGGCCCTAATAATTTTTTTAAAGTTTAAAATTACCTCTTCACACCTTTGCCACCAGAAAGGAGGCAGCAGTAGTATGTTCTACAACATGATGTTCTAAGGATGAGAGACCGTCCTTTCTGGATGAGCAAATTCTCTGATTTTTCCAGTGTATGTTAGTCTTATTTAACCTCTTTTTCTGTCTTTATCCATTTAGGAGCCACCATAAGGATGGCTCAAAGGAAAATTCATTCCCTGCCTCTTGCTGCATTTGAACTTATCACCATTTATATTAAATGAATGCTTTTTTTTTTTGGAAACAAACTACTACTAGCTGCTGCTGACCTTGTTATACTAGCATATCTTTCACTGGTTTTGGAGTTAGTTTCAAGGCTCAGTGGAGAGATCATTTGAAATAGTTGGAAAAAATCAGAATCTTAAAGGTAGAGACCATTCCCCAGAGCCTTCTGATCACTAGTTTTCTAATTTGTGGATCTTTAGTGGATTTTTTGGTGGTGGTAGAACTCTCCCAGTTGTTTTCTTTGTAGTTTTTTTATTTTTTTTTTATTTTTATATCACCTTCCATGTACCCTTGGAAGTTGTGGAATAACTATTAAGAATCATATACCTTAGACTGAAAATCAGTACTGGGCACAGCCAGGACTGTGACTTGGACAGTAACATTATGAGGCAGAACAATTGCATGGAGTAGGATATAAAGACAGTTTTGAGTAGACTTGTCAGACAAGGTAGCAGTAAACCAGAAATTACTTCCTTTAATGTTTAATTTGTTGTACCAATGATAAAGCCAGAGTTAAGACCAAAAAGTGCATTTTCTTGTGGAAACAAGTTTCTCCATCGTGTTTGGGTTAGATGATCCCACATGATGAAAAAATGACCTTGTCACTGCATGTATGTGAAACTTCATCATTTCTAGAAATCATTTCATTAAAAAACAAACTCAAATGCCATATATCAGGTGGAACTAAAACTAATCCAGGGTTGTTTTCCTGAGCTAGGAAAACGCTTTTTACTATTTAAAACACTTTGTCAGAAAAATTAATCCAGATATCTTAATGTATAAATATATATCTGATAGAGCAACTGGTTACTATCTATAATGCCTGAATTGCTTTTGATTTCATCTGAAAGACAGGGAAAGAAGAAGAAAACACTCTTGGGAATTTAAAATTGAATAAACCATAGCATTTTGTAAATTGTCAGTGGAAATAAATACTCTGTTTAGGAAGAAATTGAAAATCTTTGCTTGCAGCTGACAGAAGTGTAGAAAAATTTGGCTTAGCTAACTACAGGAATTCTTGTTCTGTTTAGATCAATCTTTTATCTGAGCATTTAAAAATGAGTATCATAAACAATATTTTTGGAGACATACATTTTTTTGTCTTGTTTTCACTACATAATAAAGATGTTCGTAATTCTTGATTTAGAGTAAGAAACCGATGTGATGAAGGACATTCAAAGAGATGAAAATATGATCTGTAGTGAAGATGTAGCAGAAACTTTTTGGGAATTATGCAAAGAGGCTATAGAAACAGGCCATGGCAGGACATAGAAATGTTACTAGTCAATATTTGAAACAACAGCTGGAAGATTTCAAGAGACAGTGAGTAGCCTGATAGCCTGATATTTGTTTATGTCGGCTTTGAACCATGTAGATTCACATGAATAATTATTCTGGTACTCAGAAAAAGTGAGTATATTATTTGAATATTTGACAGGGCACGAGGTGTATTGCTTCTGTTCAACAGATAATTTGTGTGATTTCTCCTTCCTTCCCTTCCTTCCCTTCCTTCCCTTCCTTCCCTTCCTTCCCTTCCTTCCCTTCCTTCCCTTCCTTCCCTTTTTTTTTTTTTCCTCTGAGTAAAGAAGGGAGATAAACTATTCCTGCTCAGGCCTGAGACTTTACAGATTTGTTTTCTTTCCTTCAACAGAGAACATACAGAGCTATGTATGACTACAGTGCTCAAGATGAAGATGAAGTTTCCTTCAGGGATGGTGACTATATCATCAACGTGCAACCAATTGATGATGGCTGGATGTATGGTACTGTTCAGAGAACTGGGAAAACAGGAATGCTTCCAGCAAATTATATTGAGTTTGTTAACTAATTTTTGTCTCTAGTCCTTTGAGCTTTGTTATGATTTACTCAAAATCTAATCTTTTAGAAAAAGTCAGAAGAATCTTTTAAGGCCACATGTTCATTACTTTATTGCTACTATGACAGTCTGCATTCTCACTCAGAATCCAATTTAGAGCCCTTTAAATACGGATGAATAAACAACAAGAGCTTTGAAAACAGCGTGGCTTATAATAGTGCTCCCTCAAAATAAAATAAAATAAAAAACATATATGGAAGCCTGGTGCTGTGAATCCTATAAAATCAATTAGCTGTAAAGGGAAAATACCTTTTCCCTACATCTCAAAGAGGTTGTTTCTCTTTATAGTAACCATAAAATTGATTCGCTTCTTATGGGATACGTCTAATGCTTGAGAAGTTAGCATCCTCATAAAAATAAAAATGGTAGTTAGAGAATTCGATCATTTGAAATGATACCAAGTAATATGTTTGTAAAAAAACAAAAAACAAAAAACAAAACCAAAACAACAAACCTACTGCCCAGCAGCCTTACAATAAAAAGGTTTATTTTGACAGTAAAAATTTCCCAACTCTCACCTGCGTTTATTCCTGGATTACCCATTTTATTTTTGTGTTTTTCACAGTGACCTCTTCTATCTGCTTGGCTTGCATCCTAGTCCATCAGTTAGATCCATGCCTGGTTTCATGATTCTTCAGTATCTTTCCCACAGAAAATTCCTTGCAGAAATTATCTTGATTATAAAAGCTATCATGTCTTCTGTTTCCTTCAAATAATACCTTGCATTTAAATATAAACTTCCATTAGGGCAACGTTACTTCCTTTACTTTCCCCTGTACTGCTGTAAATAGTGTGTGTGAGGCCCTGGTGCTGTGCAGTCACACAAAGCATGCAGGCACATCCCTTCATCTTACCACAAGTAACTTGCTTAATGGCTGCCTTGCTAATGAGCTAATGTACCTACCCTGCTGCAGAAATAATTGCACCTCCATTGAAGAGTGGAGAAGAGCTCTGGTTATTGTAGTGCATTTCAGCTCAATGGCCTATTTCAGTTTCCTTCAAAATTTTTAATGATCTGACAGTGAGTTGTATGTTTACAAAATGATTAATGAAGGAGAAACATAACTTTCTTTTGAAATTTATTCCTTTTCATAACTGAAACTGAAGGGAAAACTAGCAAAAAAGACCCACCCAAACCTTCAACATACTCTATTCCATTAAGCTTCAGTTTCCATCATGAGTAGAAAACAGTAATAATATTTTGCTGACAAACCTTGCTCCTTGATGACTGTTAACTTATGATTAGGAAATAAAGGAACCAGGTCTCAATCTATGAGACTGAGAGAAGAGCTTAAAATATCTGGTGACACAACAGACCTGTAAGAGAAGTTGTGTCACAGGCTTGAAACACAAGGAAGTTCCTCTTGCTTTAAGGGGATGCCAGGAAGGTGCTGTGTTCCCTCCCAGATAAAACTCTGTGAGGAAAGACAAGAGAATTAGCAGTTCATGTGGGAGTTTACTGATGTGAATGCATACAAACATAAAGAAATAATGAAGAAATAATGTTTTTGCTGATAATGTGATTATAGTATTCAACCATATGAGAAAGAAGTTAATTTTGGAGTAGCTGTCGTGTTGGTCCTGCACTGACATTATCCCATTTCTGAAATGTTAAGAGTAGAACTGTTACAGAATTTATAGATAATTTTGTATGTCATATTTCACAAAATAAGGAAGTCTGCCGTATCTGTTTAAACAACAAAGAAGGAAGGCAGTATGGATTTGTTACAGCATCTGAAAGCTGTCAGTGCAAATACTTCCTAGCTCCATTTTTGTGTACAATTAGGAATTGGAGAGTTTAAGTGTTTTTTTTTTTTTCCTGTTAACAAGGGGCAAGTCCCAGGCTGCCAAACAGGGGGTGGGATGACTGCATTTGAAAAAAACAAAAAAAGAAAAGAGGAAAAAGGTCATGACATTGTCTATACTTTCTTGTCTGCTGCGTAATTTCAAGGCCAAAGCTACCTGGGAGCATCTAACTTCAAAAAAAGTGGTTTAAAACCAGGGATGTGAGCCTGTAAATGTGCAATCTGTATGGCTTACACTGCTGTCATTTTAAATACTTGAAAGACAAGGGCTGTAACAGACCGTGATGCATTACTGGTGACTTCCACATTAAATTTGCTAGCTTTGCAAGTCAAATGGGTGTTTTTCAAAAGGCTGCTGTGATAGGCACAGCTAGAAACTCTCAAAAAAGCAGTCTGTTTGTGCATTGGTTTTCATCACTGGCCATCAACAGCAAAGAGAGAAATCCTATCTTAAAGTAGCTGACAAATTTTTCTGATGATGCCTGGGGCAGAATTGGCTATCGCTTGCTGCTATGCTGCTCTATTTGTTCTGTAATGCTGACAGCAATACAAACAAGTTGGCAGTTTGCTAACCAGACATGAATGCAAAGAAATGGAGCGAACAGATATTTTGCATCAAATTGCAAATTTTAGTCACTTACAGAAAAGCAAGTCTCAACATCAGCTTGCTTTCTTCGTAAGTGAGGAGATGGCTTCCAGTGTTGAATGTCTAGTGAAAAGTAAATCAGAAAATGAGCATTTGATCTCATTGGAGAACTATGTGCTAAACAACCAAAATAAAATGTTGTTTATGAATTTTGAATATTCAGTAGCCTGGCAAAGCACCTAAAGCAACTGCAAAATAAAAAAAGTCAAGGAAGCAAAGTAGTATGTGAATTGTATTTCTCACTGAAGTGGTATGTCAGCAGAATTATTAAGATCTGTTTTAAGGTACTCATTTATGTAGTCAGGTTTTTATGTTATATGTACTCAGCAATGATTGTTCATTTGAAATGTTTCCTCTTTTTTAATATACAACAAACTTTTTTCCCATTGTGCAGATGTGTTCTGAACTGTGCTATCAAAGTCCACAAAATATCAGAGTGCTATTTTCAAACTGTTGTATAAGATCTGAAATTTGCAATGTAAGAAGAATAGGTCAGCAACCAAATTGTGCCAGCACAACTTTTACAAGGCATATGTTGGAGCCTGTTACATGCAGTGGTATGGAGGGGTAAACAGATGTTGTATGCTGTCCTGTCACCTTTAAAATGTGCATTCCTTTTTAACACAGCATGATCTCCTCACTGTGCTTTTTTTCCTGTTAACAACATTTTTCTGGGGAAAGAGTTCTAAGGAACAAAATTTCCCAAGATATTCCAAATTTCAGTCTGGAAGCTCATATGTTCCCATTTTAAGCATTTTAGAAACGAGGAAGTTATGCTAACATTTTTACTAATCTATATATAAATAAATAAAACTACACAGAGCACATTCATACATATACACAAGAACAAATGGGTGCCTTGCTTTTCATTACTTTTTCTTGCCTGGCTTATCTTCATTTTCTAAACAAAGCTACTTACAGATCCTGCATTTTTCATTATAGAACATTAGCATTTAATCTTGATGAAACAGGGTTTTCTTGATTACATTTGACGTACCATAAACCACTTCAACAGATTGAGATTTGACAGAGATTCACCTCCCATGGATTGTATTTGTGACAAATGTGTCCATACCGAGTGTTACTTGGGGATGCAGAAGGTCTCCAATGTTTGGAAAAGGTAGTAATTTTAGCTTTTATTGTACAGTGGCATGCCATTTTGTACAATGAAAAAGAAATGGTGTGTAAGTCTTTGGCAGAAAGTGGTACAGGGTATAAAATGTTAGATTTTAATTATGTTGATTAATACTCCATTTAAAATACAGAATAAGCTTTAGTAAATGTTTCAATAACATGCTGGAACAGACAAAAGATGCTGTTGAAAGATCTCCAAACTGATGTGCTGGCAAATGCAAAGTATGGTGAGCTGTAGAAGAGTAAACCATTTTGCAGTGCTTTAGTGATTTTATCCAGCTTTATGCAATAGGAATCCTATCTCCCTTTTTGAAAGAAAACCTGAAAGCTATATTTCCTAAACTGCCTGCATTACAACAATATATTGAAAGGAATTTCATATGCTTCTTGTGTCTGATAAATAGAATTTGCATATTGTACTTAAGTTGTAATCCAGTTGTTGTTGACATTTGTTTAATTATTATTATTTTAGAGGGGAAGATAAGCTATACTGTAGCATTTCAATCATGTGTATTTAATAGTACTCTTAGAAGTTGCTAGACCGTTGGAAGACAGCAATGACTGTATTAACATTGATTAGCATGATGTGGAAAATCTCAGCTGTTGGTTTTTGCAGTGTGATATAAAAAGCAAAAATGAACCGCTGTGCAGTTTGGCTTATGTTTGCTTTCAAGTGTGTAAAAGTTTTAGTTATCTTGCAAAACTACTGTATTTGGGAGTATAAGTTCTGAAGGTAACAATTGTTTTTCAAAGGACAGATGTACTTACTCCTGGATCATATGATGTATCATCTTAATTTGGCTTTTGTTATGCAGAAAGTTAACACCAGCTATTAAAATATATTTTAGTAGAAATGCTTTAATTCCTGTTTTTTCCTCTACACTGTGAATATTTAAGCCTTGGTGGACTAGAGCAACATCATGCTGCCCAAAGTACTAACCTATGCAAACTAGTTCACATTTTAGTTGATGTCACAGTGGATGTAACATAACAATTTATTTTGCATAACATTAAAAGTCATTCAAATAAAATGTTAAACCTAGCACTATGTATGTATTATATTCATAATCAATCCTCTGCAAAGCTACTGTGCCCATTAAAATAAGCTACTGAACCTGTGTATTGTTCTAACTAAGTAGGGATGCTGTGACTTTTCAAACTGAAGAGGAATATATAGTGCTATTTCAAGCTTGATCTCAAGAAATGTTTTAGAAAACAGCAGTTTATTTCAGAAATGCACTCTTCTCAAAGGGTTGATTAGCCTTTTCAGTCTGTTTGTAACCCTTTAGAACAGTAAGTTACATTCTATGTCCCTTGTTTTGTTTAAATAAACAAAGGTAGTAAGTGAATGAGGTCCTCTGATTTGGCTGATACTGGTTTTCTGATCTTTGAATAGGCATTTGATCAGGTGTGCTGTCAGTGCAACACTAATGAAAATAACTTGTGTTACTATCCTCTTAAATACAGCTTTAAATACAAATATGGGTCTTGGGCTATCTCTGTTTACTTATATGAATAGATTATTTTCATAGAATTGTATTAAAATTTAAATTGAAATAAAGTCCAGAAGTACCTTGGAACTGTTCTACCAGAAGCACCTGAAGAAGATTGTTTTGCTTAAGGATATATTTTATTAATTTCAGTGTTAAATGCACAATTTTTGTAGAGTGTTACTTTGAAGAAGGCTGATAACAATGAATGGGAACAAATGACAGGTATAAATTAAGTTGGTTAGTTCATTCTAGGTAAGTTATACACATCTGCTACCAAGCTAATTTAGGAAATACATGTTAGCACTTATGAAGTTTAATCAATTACACAGCCAGCTTTGATTCCATATTTTGTTATGCTTTTATATCTTTAAATGCCTTCAGTATTCCAGAATCCAACCTATATATATATCATAAGAAACAATGATTTTCAATAAGAAAAAAGACTTAAGAGGTGCCAGAATTAATGTTGGGAAATTGGGATGTGTTTTACTTGCAAATCTCTCCATAATGTGCTAGAACAACTGGAATACTTGATTTTTTAACTCTATCCTAAATATATATTTCAGGTGAAGGATCTTGCCCTTTGAGCTGCTGATGTTAAGTCTGTAGGAGTCAGGGCAGGATGTGACAGTGTTTGTTCAGCATTTGAAAGAATTGTGTTCATATTCAGTAGCAGTGTCAAATCTATTTAGATTGCTCCAAAAGTAGAGCCTCCTAATTATATCTGTGGAAACTACAACAGATACAAAGAGCATGATAACACTATTTGATAGAGAAAATTTTCAGCTACAAAAATTTTTTTTTCCAGCATAGTCATCGCCAATAGCTGTCCAATTTTGCTAGTAATGAACGAGAATCTGTATGTTGCACTCATAAAAATCTGCACCAGTGAAGATGATCCATTGTTTCACAGCTGCTATGACAGAGTCATTACTAGGAAAATGTTGCCCATGCTGTCCATCTTTCGTTGACTTAAAGAGCTGAAAGTCAGAAGGCACCAAATCCGGGCTATACAGTGGATGTGGTACAATAGTCCAGCCAAGATTGGCAATGTGCTCCACAGTCTTCAAACTGGTATGGGGTCTGGCATTATTATGTTGCAAGAGAAAGGTTGTCTTCTTCTCTGGCCTGACTCTGGAACTGCAAGCCTTCAGCTTAGTCAACGTAGCAGTGTTTGTGGTTGGACATGTTGGTTCGTCCATTTTCCAGAAAATCCAGAACGAGGACCACATTTCTGTCCCAAAATACAATGCACATCACTTTACCCACTGAGGTCTCCGTTTTTTCTCTGATGGGGAATTCACGTGCTACCACTCCATGGACTGCTGTTTTGACTTTGGTTCCTTTGGTGACACCACATGTTGTCACTGGTAATGAAGTGTTCCAGAAAATTGTCACCTTCAGCCTCATATGCATTTAGTAGGTCCTGAAAAATTTGCATAGAGTGTTCTTTTTGCTCTTGTGTGAGCATTCATGGGACCCAGCTGGTGCGAACTTTGTGGTATTCCAGCATTGCCAGCATCATCTCTACCACATTGAAGTTGATATTTGGCTCCATACACAGTTCCCTGGTCATAAATTGCCTATTTGTGTGGGTGAGCTTATCGAGACGGACATAATTTTGTGATGTGTCAGCTGTGCATGGCCATCTGGAACATGGCTTGTCTTTTGCGACATTGGAACCACTGCTGAAACACACCATCCACCACCTCACTGTGCGCACTTCCACTGCTTGGTCTCCTTAAACATTCAGTAAGCATCAATGAATATCAGTGAGTGCAATTTTTTTCCATGTGGAGGAATTCAATTCCTCTTCATTGCTTTATAGGCACTTGCATGTCAGATGCCTTTCTGTCAGATGGCCCCTCTGCAGCCATCCATTGCATGGAAACAAAATGTAGTGGAAGGAATGTTCAACCTTTGTTGCCATGCCACCAACATCTGCGTCTGATGTCATGGGTTAACACAATAAAATGGGTGGCATTACTTTTGGAGGAGCTCTTGTAACACAGGACTGAAAGGAATACGGTGTTCAGTCTTTACAGACCCTGTAGATTTTTATTATCAAAAAGATCTACATAGTGGCTCTAGAAGGTCTTGTCAAGACCTTCCACACTGTATATTGGCCCAGCTGAATGTTTCCAGCTATCTCTGCTTTTAATACGTCTTCATTTCTGATCTTCGAACTTGACTTTTGATTTTCTCTGTTGTTTTAATTAGCAAGAGTAAGTTAATCTCACAGTGTGTTATTTGTGCTGAGGGAATTGTTGCCTGATGCACTGGCTGTGATAAGTGCTGCCTGCCCTCCTGTTGCTCAAGCTACCATGGTTCCAGTTCTGGCCTGCAGTGTTTATCCATATGGCAACATGTGGGATGCACTGGCATGTTATCACCAAATGATACAAATTAACAATAATCTTTGTGGTTTTCTTTTTTTTTTTTGCTCACAAGTTGTTGTTTTTATTATCATTGTCTCAGTGATTAATTTGTTGCATGAACAGCAATATAGGAAAGAGCATGATGTGAGTGGGAAGGAATGATTGAGGTGAAAAGGCGCAGATTTCTTATTCTAGTTTTGCTGCAGAGATTGATGCTAGTCAATATATGTCTGAGAGTGCTGGCTGAACAACTAACGCGTAATCTGAGCAATACTTGTATGGCTGTGCACAGCCTGTCTTTATGCTGTAGTGTCAAACGGACTGTAGTATAGTGTGCAGATATCTAATCAGCTTTTGAGCAATTAATCTGAATCCCATTCTCAGGCCAATCACTGGAGAATTCATAAGGGCAAATTTATCCTTCCAGAAAATTAGACTTCAGATTGTATTGTCAGTTGGTTTAAACTGTATGTTCTTGTGCTCTGCTGGAGGAAATCCTTTGAAAATGGAGCCCATGGCACTGCAATGTGTTCCTAACTCTGAACTGTGCGAGTACCAGCATGAGAGGATGTGCCATGGAGGTCACCTGCACCACGAAGATAATGCACTATGTGCTAAGTATGTGTTTTACTACAGCAGAAACTGGCGATTCATGTGTGTGCATTGTGCCCTAAAAAGATTTTAGGCAGTCCATGGCTGTTACATATTTTAACTTTGGTTTCTTTTTTATCTGCTTGCTGCTGATAAAATCTACACATGAAGAGGGCTGTTCTTATTGTGAAGTCTACTGGCCTGTTGCTCTACTGGCTCTTTTTTCTACAAAGAGACATGTATGCAATTTTCTCCATGCATTAACAGCTGGCTCTTAAAATCCTGCTTGGCATATGAACATAAATTCTCAGTGATTTCACAAAAAAAAGGCAGCTTTTGTAATTGTTCTTCAAGCCATAAATTACAGCCTCCAGGATTCTGTTGCTTTGAGCAATATCTTTGACTGGATGTGGAGACATTGTTGAAATGTCTCTTTTAGACCTCTGAGGCACTAAGAGAATTTTCAAATGGTTGAAAAATGCCAGTGTTCATTGGTCGAGCCCATGGAGGTGCTAAATCATCAGAACTGCATTTGGCACTCACCTCCCCATTCTTCCCTTCTCTTCCAGCAGTGGTGTTCTGGCTTCACTGCTTATCTTGACTTTTTGCCTCCTTTCAGCAAACCTTTGTCACTTAACCCATCGGGCTTGGGACTTTTATGGTCAGGCCTTCATGACACTCCCTGGCTTCTATAGTTCCCACATTGAGATTCAAATCTTTAGCACAACTTAGCTACCTGTTATTCTGTTGAGCACTTTTAGCAGAGGACTAATGTGCCCATTTACCCTAAAGAGTACTATGTTTCTGTTGACTCAGCTTTGAACGGTGAAGAAGAGTCATCCTGAGTGTACTTTCATTTTCCCACTTTCCTTCCTTGCCTCTGGGTCATCCCGGATTCCTTTAAGCTCAGCTGCTATTTTCAGGAAAGAAGGAAGGAGATCATGTTTATCACTGCCTTATTGTGTCTCATTCATTCATTCATTTCTTTAGAACATTAGCATCTTCATTATGTTTTCTTTATTTTATCCCTAATTGTGGGCTGAACTCTTGATTCAGGAGTCTTTCCCTCTCCACCAGTATTTGATCAAAGGTCTCATGCCGTGTAGGTGTAATGTGTTGCTCACAGTGGATGATGTAGTTGATAGGCAGTAGCCTGCTTACTGAGACGTATTTCCTAGTTCTACTCATTCCTAATTCATCAGACAGGATATCTGTTAGACAAGATTGTCTGTACCAAACATTCAACCTTTCTATAAATAAATGTGCCATTATAAAATAAACACTTTTTCCTAATTTATATTTCCTCTCAGGATGACATTGATATCTTACAGTTTCATGGCTTCACTGACCTTAGGAAGCATGAATTAGGCTCATTAGGTTCCAAGGTATTGTTAAGACTGATCTTGATGACTGCAGCTATTTTGCAGTGTGCTTGTCTCAAGTTAGATGGGATAAATGACATATTAAATCTTGCTGGCAAGTAGTTCAACTGAACGGAGTTCATGCATTTATTTGAGTGACCCAGCTATTCAATAGCCTGTCATTTTCATTTCTACTCCAGCAGTTCAAAAAAAAAAAAAAAAAAAAAAAAAAAAAAAAACAGAAAAAAAACCGAGAGTTAGATGACAATTAGGTGACAATTATTTATAATCAACTAATTAACTGTGCAGTTTATACAATTCCTTCAGCATTATGGAAGTGGAGAAAGTTTATTTGGTAGTTTTAAACCGTGTGCAAAGTGGAGCAAACAAGCAGGCTGAATGCCAGGCTAGGGAGTCATTTGGGTTGACATTTGGCTTGCTTGCACGTCCAACCTTTATCTTTTCTTCTGTTTCAAAAAACTGATGGGAAAGCTCTGTTCCTCACAGCATGACCTATTGTGTTGTT